GAACTGAGAGATTATTTCAGCAGATTCTGTCCTTTATACAGATGACCAAGACTCACCAGACTTATGAAAATCAGAAATATTTAATGAGCGAGAAAGAAAGAAGAGACAGAAGAAAAGGAGATGCAGTAGGGAACATAATTTCCAAAATAAAGTGAATCTTGAAAACTCCCAAGTGATACTATGGAAAGAGCACTATCAAACAACAAGGTAAAATTCTTAGGAATTTAAATATTCCACTAAAATTAATAGTTCATTGAAAATTATCCAAAATAAAGTGAGAGATGTTAGAATGAAGAGTAAAAGACAAAGATGTAAATTAAACAGAAATATATGAAACATAAAGAAACAGAATTGAGAATGTTCAATATCTGATAAGCTAAATTTTCAGAAAGTAATAACAGAATAAAGTTAGGGATACAATTAATAAGGGAATAATGGCAGAGGTAAATAATCCCAGAGATGAAAATATATGAATTGTTAGAAAATATAAGTACAATAGATGTCCAGAAAAATTAATGAAAAATATCATAACATTATGAAATTTAAATCATCTAAGAGAGAAATTCTAAAATCTGAGAGGGAAGGAAAAAAACATATGTAGATCCATAAATAGATGGTATACACACACACACACACACACACACACACATATATATAATTTATTTATTACATGTATTTTATGTATGTGAGAAGAGAGAGGGTAAGAAGTATTAAGAATAAGATTTGATAACATTTAAAAATATGGATTAATAATCAATAGATATGAGTGTACCTTTTTCCTCACATCTTTGCCAACATTCATGGTTGCTTGTACTCTTGATAAGTGACATTCTTACTGGTGTGAAATGAAATCTTAGAGTCTTTTTGATTTTCATTTCTCTAATTGCTAAAGTTGTTGAACATTTTTACTTATATTTGTGGATCAACTGTATTTTTTCTTCTGTGAAGTGTCTGTTCAGTTTCTTAGCCCATTTATTGATTTTAAGTTTTTTTGAGTTCTTTATATAACCTAGAGATCAATGCTTTATCTGAGGTGAACGTGGTAAAAGATTTTATCCCAATCTGTAGGGTCTCTCTTCACAATATTGATTGTTTCTTTTGCTGATAAGAAGATTTTTAGTTTGAATCTATCCCATTTATTGATTCTTGCTTTTACTTCTTGCACTTTTGGGTGTTTTTTTTTTTTAAGGAAGTCATATCCTAGAATGACATGGTGAAGATTTTGGCCTACTTTGCCTTCTATTTGGCACAGGGTCTCTGTTCTATTACCTTGCTGGTGGGAATGCAAATTGGTGCAATCATCATGTAAAGTAATATGAGAGGCCTCAGAAAACTTGGAATGGAACCACTATTTGACCCAGCTATTCCACTCCTTGGATTATACCCAAAGGACTTAAAATGAGCATATTTCAGTGCTGCAACCACATCAATATTTATAGGAGCTCAACTCACAATAGCTAAACCATGGAACGAATCTAGGTGTCCTTCAACAGATGAATGGATAAAAAAATGTGAGATATATATATATATATATATATATATATATATACACACATACACATACATATACACACACAGACATACACAATGGAATAATATTCATCTTTAAAGAAGAAAGAAAGTATGGAATTTGTCAATAAATAGATGGAGTTGAAGAATATCATGCTAAGCAAAATAAGCGAATCCCCAAAAGCCAAAGGCTAACTGGGACGAGGGAAGAATAGAGTTACTTTAGGTAGAGGAGAGTAAAGGGAGGGGAGGTGGTTTGGGGGTAGGAAGGAGAGTAGAATGAAACAGACATTATTACCTTATGTACATATATGACTGAATAACCATGTGATTCTACAACATGTAAAATAAGAAAAATGAAAATCATACTCCATTTATGCACAATATATCAAAGTGCATAAATGCATCTGTCATGTGTAACTAATTAGAACAAAAAATTTTAAAAAATTTTAATTGTAGGTGGACATAATAACCTTTATTTTATTTGTTTTTATTTTTATGTGGTGCCGGGGATGGAACCCAGTGCCTCACACATACTGAGCCACAAATCTGGCCCTAGAACAAATTTTAAAAATTAATAAAAAAGTAAAGTCAGAAAACCCAAAAGAAAAAGAAATCAATAGATAAATGATTTTAAATTTCAGAGCAAGAATTCTTTATCTTGTGGAATCATCAATCAAGCATGAGGAAAAACTAAATATATTTTCAGGCACATAAAGACACAGATTTTTCTGTACATACTCTTTTTAGGATGACATTTGAGGTTGTACTGTAGCAAAGGGAGGAAATGAAAAAGGAAAAAAGGGAATAAGGATCCTATCACACAATGAAATCAACTAGGAGAGCGTGAAGACAAGGTGGCAGTTCCATACCGACTTTTAAGAAACCTTTTAATTCTAATGGAAGCAAAAAGATAGTGGGCTCCATGGGGTGGGGGGGGTGGGCAGAACATTGGCCGGAAGTAACAGTGGTTGTCCGACTGAGGGGTGCCCACTCATCACCTGAGGGGGACTCACGGCCCACAGCATCCACCAGCAGCGGCTGGAGCCAAGGCTCCAGGGGGCCATGGTGACTGATGCAGCATGATCTTCTCTGTGGGATCTTCCTGTCAATCCCCTTCACCAGCTACCATGAGGGAGCACCTCTGCCCCAGGAAAAGGAGAAGGAATGACAGTGAAGAAGGTAACTACTCCCACCACCCAAAAGGAGTAGCTGAAACCTTGTCTTTCAGGATTCCTGGGACACAGAGTCCTGGAGCAGTGACAGTGGTGGGAGCAGCAGCATCAACAGCCCAGACAGGGCAGTGGGCAAGAGAGTGGCTTAAGCCAAATCATCTCCAAATGTAGCCCCAACACCCCTCAGCCCTTCCGGAGCAGTCTGCACTGTACCAAAGCCCTTGCTTCCACATCAGCCACATGTTGAAGGAGGCCCACTTTCACAGTCTCTGACATGATGCATGGGCAGTTTCTTGCCTTCTGTGAGGGAACAGTACTGTGTAGATTTGATATTTCAACTTATGTTTTTTTTTTAAATGCACCCAAAAATGCCTGTTGGCTTTTCAGTCTATATTTGAAATAATAGCTCAACAGGCAATTGTTTATTTGTGGTTTTGCTGAACTATTGCAATTTCAAAGGGGCTTGAAAGCAATTTTTTACAAGATTATTTTGAGGGAGGGTATCAAATCCATGTCAAGGCAGTGGTATGAAATGGGTTGCAACAATAGTATGTCGGATTCAGACTGATCTCCAAATATATCAATTAGAAGTTTGCTTTATGTAAAAGGACCTTTATAATGTGTGAGATTCAATTTTTTAATTCAATAAATTAGTAGAGTATCGGTAGTTTCCATGAAAACAAAAAGAGGAAAGATAGGAAGTTGAATTCATGATTGATATTTTGATAAATTGCAAAGATGGGGTAATGTCAACTCATGGAGTTTAAATGGTGAATTGATCTTGATTTTAGGAACACTCTGTTTTCAATGGCATAGAAAGCACAACTGTAGATCCAAGGAGAAGGAATGAGAGTTCTTACACCGAGTACTATGGATGTATAATGAATAATATTTTGAGATAGAATCATCAACTAGTAACCAGGAACTGTCCTGATCCTCTAAGGTAAGTCAAGATCCCTTACTGAACATGAACAATCTTATCCAACACCAGCATCAGAAAAGACCTTGGTGATTCTGATTGAGCAAGATCAAAATAAAATTACTTTATGGTTGAGCAGAGACCAAAGTAAGAATATTATTCAAACCAAAACAGTGACCAAAGACCCCCACTTCCTTGCAAATGGAATTTGCAATTATACTTTCACCAATTATACTTTCATTTCACTTTGTTCTCCTCACTACATAATTGTATAATCATTCCATTTTCTTAAAGCATCCAATCCAGATCTAACCCATACTTAAACCCTCTCCCAAATTTCCTATCACAAACCCAAATTCTAGAACTCCTTTGCAAGGAATAAGAAAGTAACCCTTTTACTACGGTGACTCAGGGCTTCTTATTGTGTGCAATCTCCATCAATGCAAATAATCAGTAAATCCAACTTTGCTTTTATAGTGTTCCCAGTAATCTTTGATTGCAGGGCATTTATAATCTATATTGTCTTTACAGGTATATTTTAACATATATTTTCAGGCTCTAAAACCTATCTATAGCTATGACAAGGAATTCTTAGATATGGTTGTAATGACAATGTAAAGAAACATATATGGATGTAAAAATATCATATTTGATTATTGTAAAGAGAGGTCCAACTGAGGAAAGTTGAAAACTGCCAGAAGAAACAGATACAAAAGGAAGAATAAGAATAGTGTTCATTTCATTCATAAAGAAAAACAAACTTAATAGCCATTAATGGAAAAGTAGATGAAAGTTTCTGTTGGACCAGAGGAGTACTCAAAAACAGTAACAGTTATATGTGAAGAATGGACAGTTTTTCCATTGATGTGTTTTCTTTTGTTGTTGTTTTGTAGTTCTGGGGATGCCAGTGGTTCTCTACCACTGACCTATATCCCCAAACCTTTTTAAATTTTACTTTGAGGCAGGATATCACTAAGTTGCTTTGTGTGGCCTCAAACATGCAATCCTCCTCCTTCAGCCTCTCTTCCTACCCCAACCTCCCAAATACCTTGGATTATACACATGTACCATTGTGCCTGGCTCCACTGATGTAATGTAAGTGTACTAGCTACTCAGTAATAATTTAAGAAGATTGTCTAAAAATGTATGAGTTTACTAGAGCTGCAAATACCACAAAATGGGAGGATAAAACAAAAGGAATTCATTTCTTTCCAATTCTGAAGGCTAGATGTCTAAGGAGTTGACATTCTGATTCCCTTCTCTCCTTGCCTAGTAGATGACTGTGCATCTTCAGGAATCTTCATAGGAACATCTCTATGTGCCTGTGTATGATCCTCACCCCACTCCCTTATGGGCTAATCTTATGAAACACATCAATGATATTGACTTGGAGCAGATACAAACCACTTCCTTTTAATGTAATAACAACTTTAAATGTTCCATCTTTAAATTCAGTCCAGTTCTAAGGTAGTGGGGGTTAGGGCTTCAATATTTGAATCTGGGGGAGCACTATTCAACCGCTAACAGTTACGAATGCACTCCTTAGTGATATATAAATATGAAAGTTCTTTTAAAAAGGGTTTAAACTGCTTACCAAAAGAGGCAAAACTTAAAAAGAAACAGGCAATATCAGGTTAGGGCAAGAATGTGAAGGAATCTGTATATCTAGACACTGCTAACAGTACTGTAAACTGATACAACTACTTTGGGAAATCATTTTGAAATTTCTACTAAAAAGTGTATGACTACTTACTAAATGAGCAGCAATTCTAACCAGGTATATAGATGTAACAAAAATGCATATACACATCACAACAAAAGTAAAAAAAGAAGAACAAACCTCAGGAAAAGCAATATACATAGGTTTGGAATGACAATATGTAAATGAGTGCACTAAAGCAAATGAGTGCAATAAAGTAATTCTCCAAATTAAGATAAAGTTAAATGGGCAAATTCATTACAACAGGAAAATGAAAAATATCTCCAAAAGTAAGTTATTCTCCATACAAACTCAATTTCTGTATCTAGATGAGTTAGGATAAAATGACAAAAACTGTCCCATAATTAAATCTCTATGGGAATCGAAGGATATTCCCTAAAGTAGCATTTTCTACTGTATCTTTATTAGGCCCCTGAGGTGGCAATTTGGGGAATATCGGTTTAAGAAATTTGAACTCATTTGTCCCTGAGCCACCAGAGAGACACACTTCATACTGGTAGCTCTGAGACAGTGTCCCAGTACCACAGACATCCATCAGATGGCCAGAAAGTTGGCCCTCAGGACCAGAGCAGACACCCAGCGGCGCCGCCCTGCGCCTCCTGCACAGCCTCACAACCACAAAAACCAGCACAGAGAAGAGGAAGAGAGATGACACAGAGGCCAAGGCGATGACCAAGTAGACAGTGAGCGAGTCCCCCTGCAAGCGCTCAGGCGCCACTTCCGGGAGAGGCAGGTAGGGCTGGGAGAAGCCATCCACCAGCAGCACGTGCAGCGTGACGCTGGCAGACAGCGGAGGCTCGCCATTGTCCTTGACCAGCACCACCAGCCTGTGCCTGGCCGCGTCGCGCTCGCTCAGCAGCCTGGCGGTGCGCACCTCGCCATTGTGCGCCCACACGCCAAACAGCCCTGGCTCCGTGGCCTTGAGCAGCTGGTATGACAGCCAGGCGTTCTGACCCGAGTCTCCATCCACCGCCACCACCTTGGTGACCAGGTAGCCCTGCTCTGCCGCCCTGGGCACCAGCTCTGTGCAGGGCGCAGAGGCGTTCTGCATTGGGTACAGCACGAAGGGCGAGTTGTCATTGTCGTCCAGCACCACCACTCGCACCAGCGCCTGGCTGCTGAGCGCAGGCGAGCCTTGGTCTGTGGCGCCCACGCGGAACTCGAATGACTGCAGAGCCTCGAAGTCCAGCGCCCTCAGCGCGAACAGCTGCCCATTGTCTGCGTTGATGGAGACCAGCGAGGCGAGGGCCAGGTGCGGGTCCTGGGTTGGCAACAGAGAGTAGGTGATCTGGGCATTGGTGCCTGAGTCTCTGTCTGTGGCACTGACACTGCCTATGTGCAGGGCAGGGCGGTTGTTCTCACGCACCAACAGCCTGTAGGACGTTTGGGAGAAAGCAGGGGCATTGTCATTGACGTCAGAGACAAGGATAATTATACTGTGTTCAGTTTTCAACCTAGGTGACCCCAAGTCAGTGACGGTGATGGTGATGTTGTACTCGGCTCTGCTCTCTCTGTCCAACGGCCTCTCTGTCACCAAAGAGTAAAAGTTCTTAAATGTGGGCTTCAAGAGGAAGGGGAGATCGTTTTCTATGGAGCAAACCATCCTACCATTGTCCCCAGAGTCTGGATCAGAAACGCTGAAAATAGCAACTACAATCTCCAGGGAGTTTTCTGGGATAGAGCTGCTGAGTGTGGACATGGTTAGTTCAGGAGCATTGTCATTCACATCCACCACTTCTATGGCCACTGTGCATTCCCCTAAAAGGCCTCCACCATCTGTGGCTGCAATTTCTATAATATAATGTTGGGTTGCCTCAAAATCCAAAGCCCTTTGCAGACGAATTTCTCCTGATAATTTGTCTATAACAAATGGTTGAGAAACTTCATCACCTTCAAATAAAGAGTAGGCAACACGACCAGAAGTTCCTAAATCTAAATCTCGAGCAGAGACAACAAGAACTAACGAGTTTATGGGACTGTTCTCAGGAACCTGTACCTCATACAGGGATTGTAAAAATTCAGGGGCATTATCATTCATATCTACCACCTCAATGTGAACTGTGACAGTCCCAGACCTGGGTGGCACCCCACCATCCAGCGCTGTGAGGATTAAACTAAGCTCAGACTCTTCCTCCCGGTCCAGAGCTTTGTCCAACACCAGCTCTGGGTATTTTCTGCCATCTCCCCGATTGTGAGTAGCAACACGAAAATTGGAATTGGGGCTGATTGTGTAGTTCTGAACACTGTTGCTACCCATGTCCAAGTCCTGAGCTGATTTCAAAGGAAACACAGTCCCTGGCTGGGCGCTCTCTGGGATTCTAAGGAACATATCCCTGTCTAGGAATTCTGGAGAATGGTCATTTACATCCGTGAGTTGCACATCAATTTGAAACAACTGCACCGGGTTTTTGAGTAACAACTGGAAATGCAAAATGCAGGGTTCTGTAGCCCCACACAGCACCTCCCGGTCTAGCTTTTCCTGTAGAAGCAAATTGCCGGTTTTTACATTGAGCTGCAAGAGCTGTTTGCTGCCTTTGTGGTGGATTCTTGCACCCCGAGTCGCCAGCTCTCCCACCCTGAGCCCCAGATCTTTTGCCAGGTTGGCCACAGAGTAGCCACTTTCTGTTTCTTCTGGCATGGAATACCTAATTGCCTCAGAGTCAACCTCCCACAAAAACAACAGCATAGCAAGAAAAATGACTTGCCTTTTCTGCAGGGATTTTGCTAGAGCAGTCTGCATTGTTCAAATCCGTCCAGAAGGTGCAGTTCCTTCCACTCGGTATACAGTCCACTCAGACGATTGGTTAAATAATCTTGAGTTAAATATTTCTGTCTGACATACACTTAGAACGGTGCTTATCTGAAGATCTGTCTTCCGGAGCCTGCTTAAAATGCCTCCTTCTTTGGGGGAGCTCTCAGAGTTCTGATTCCTAGCTTAATGGCGTCCCTGGCATCCAGAGCCCATCATTCGCTTGCTTATCCTTCAGCGCCACCAGGCGTCCTTACTTACTATTGCATATAATATTTGCCATTTCATTCCAAATTCTAAACCTGCTGTGTATCAATACCCTTTTAATCACAAAAGCACCCTTAATTGTGTCTCCAAGTTATTAGAAGTTATAAGTAAACCTTTGCTGGGTGAATTTTCAGTGGAAAAATACTTGTTTAACTGATGCATGCCTCCAGTTCTTGGGACTGGGAGCCTGAAGCCGGATCATTGCATAATCAAAGCCAGGCCAGGCAAGGTAGGGAGACCATGTCTCAAAATAAAAAATAATATGGGCTGGGGATCTCGCTCAGTGGTTAAGTGCCCCTGTGGTCAACCTCTTGTACCATAAATAAATAAATAAATAAATAAATAAATAAAATGGTCTTAATCTTCTCTATAAAAGTACCTTTTGCATACAAAAAGGAACTCTTTGTTGGTTCATAATTTGATCACATCAAAAATTGGAGGTAGATCCACTCATATAAATAGAATGTAGATTAAAAATAGAGAGCTGCCCAAACTCAGGAAGTCTGAGTCTCCTGCCATTGTCTGAATACTAAATTTCCCCCAAAACGTAAGCTCTTTCCTGAATTATACTGTTTTGTTGTTGTTGTTGTTGTTTGCTTTTTGTACTTTGACACATATGGAGTTATAGAGCATTACGTTCTTATTTCTGTCTTCTTTCCTTCAACATTATGTTAATAAAAATTATAGCTGGCATGTCATTCTGATGTATTTTATTCTCATTGCTTTCTAATAGTTTTATGTATGAAAATATCATGATTTGTTTATGCATTCTCCAGTTCACGATACTCAGTGTTTTTCCAGTTAAGCATCCCCTTTTTTAAAGTAGTATTGTTACAAACCTTCCTGAACTTACCTTTTGGTGACCATGTCTGTTTTTATACTGAATATATTTAGATTAATCATTTTGCTATGCATATGTATACACACACACACACACACACACATATATATATATATATACACACATATATATGTATTTAGTTTTAGCAAATATATATATATAGTTCTGGGAATCATAACTCTGAGAGCTCCCCCAAAGAAGGAGGAATTTTAAGCGAGCTCCAGTAGACAGATCTTCAGAGAAGGGATCATTCTAAGTGCATGTCAGACAGAAATATTTAACTTATGATTATTTAACCAAATCGTTTCAGTGGACTGTATACCAAGTTGAAGGAACTGCACCTTCTGGACAGATTTGAATAAGGCAGAGTGCTCTAGCAAAACCCTCACAGTTTTATCAAATACTGCAATGTATTTAGTACATATATCTACATATATATTTAGTGTTAAGGTCTGTAGACAAGTCAAAATAACACGTGGTATTTTGCCAGGGGAATGTTAGAGTTCCTAAACAAGTCTGGATGGTGCCTGGCAAAATGCCAGAGGGAGTGGTTTGAGAAGTAACAAAAGCAAGCCATTAAGTGTGGAGATTCCTGATTGGTTGACTGATGTATCTAGTTTATGCTAATTAGATAAGCTGTGCAAAATGTATAAATAGCTCTGTTGTCCTACAATAAACGGCTTCCATTCCTGCTGCATAAACGTACAGAAGTTATTCGTCACCCCCCGGTTATTATGCTGCAGCCGGACTGCGGCAATTTAGTTTTAGCAAATACTGTAAAACACTCTTCAAAAGTAATGTTTTCAGTACCAATAAAGTATGAGAGTTCCAGTTGCTCCATATCCTTGTCAACATTTGATGTTATCATTTCAGTTCTAACCACTTTATTGAGTGTATGGTGATAGCATTTTGTAATTCTGATTTGTAATTTTGTGGTGATTAACAAAATTATTTACATTTCTAATGTTTATTCACCATTTGGACACATTCTTATGGAGTACTTGTTCAAGTCTTATATCATTTTTGTTATTGGGGCATTAATATGTTTGCTTTTTTGGTTTGTAGAAGTATTTTTTACATTCTGGGTATAGGTCCCTTTAATATAATATATTACCAATATTTCCTCTTGATCTGTGTTTTGTATTTTAATTTCTATTATGGTATCTTTGATCAAAACTTCTTTAATTTAGTTTGATTTGTACATAGTTATCACTTTTGGCTTGCATTTTTTTGTTCTGTTTAAATCTTCATATGCACAAAGGTATATTTTGAAATTTTAATTACTATAGTTTTCCCATCTAAAGCTGTAATCAAGCTAATTTTTTCAAATGAATCTGGTTAGTCTCAAAAGTTTTACATATGCCTTTATACCATCTATTGAAAAGATAATCCATTCCCCATTGTTTCAGAAGCCTCATTACTGTCATAAGTCAGGTGATTTTTACGTCTTCTCAAGTATTTAATTTTTCTGTTTATCCTGCTATACCCTACTGCTGTAGTTAATATAGCTCTGTCATGAGTTTTTTATTAAATATTAAGGCTTCCACTTTTAAAACAATAGACTATTTTTTAAAAAAAGTTAGAGTCACATAAAAAATGATCATAGGTTACAGAGATATACCATGTTGGCAGAAAATTGTTCACAAGATCTATTTTTTATTTTTAAAATGCCTGTAGGATTGATAGTGATGTTTCTTTTTTTAAAACTCCTACAATGGTAATTGGTATTTTTGTTGGTTTACTTGATTAATCTAAAGAGTTTTAATTTTGCTAATAATTATGAAGGACATACTTTCAAATTTACCAATTTGCTCTGTTTAATCTTTGTCATCTATTTCATTCATTTCTGGTTGTGTATTTTGTATGTGAAATTACCTGTTGATCTTTTCTACATTCTGGTGGTATCCCGAATGATCCAAACTTTGTGAATATAGGCAGGAAAGAAGTGAGTTCTGGATGGTCATTTGTCCAGTCTCCTTGGTGGGATTATACAAATTAGACTTCTGAAAAGTGAACTGGAATTTTTTTGTGAACTTGAAACTTCAACCAGACTTATTTTTTGTCACACATAAAAGATATTCTTTTAAATAGATGATAATAAATAAAGGAGAAATCATTAAATTTAACCACCATATTTATGTCTTGTATTAAATAAAGTTCATGTTTAATTCTGTTCTCATTTTATCTCTGCCTCACTTCAATTTTTCAATTGAATGATGGCTAAAAACTTTGTTTCAAAAATGACTTAAATGTCAGTAATTTCCCCTTTTTTATTATATCATCAGAAAAAAATAGTAATTCAGAAAAAGCACAGGTACTTAATCTCCACTAAAATAATACTTGAGACTTAAAAATATCAGCTTTTAAAATAAGCCTTTAGGGGCTGGGGATGTGGCTCAAGCGATAGCACGCTCGCCTGGCATGCGTGTGACCCGGGTTTGATCCTCAGCACCACATACCAACAAAGATGTTGTGTCCGCCAAGAACTAAAAAATAAATATTAAAAATTCTCTCTCTCTCTCTCTCTCTCTCTCTCTCTCTCTCTCTCTCTCTCTCTCTTTCCTCTCTCACTCTCTCTTTAAAAAAAAATAAGCCTTTAAACTTCTTGTATTATGCCAGAAGTTCAAGGAAGTTGTCTTCTATTAATATAAATTTAACTAGTTAGGAATCCCACAATCAACTCACTAGGGTTATTGAACACAATTGAGAACTATTATAATTCAAACGAGTTCATTACTGTTAAAGCTACTCAGGACAAAATACTTCATACAAATGCAACTTTGATGTCATTGAAAAATTTAAATAACATCAAAGAACAAAACTGAAGAATTAAACATCAAAAGAAGTCATTATGATGTTAGTAAAAACTGTTCACATCTACAAAGTGCAAAATCTTTGATCAGCCAGTAAGGACTAAACAGAATTGCCAAAATGCAGGAGATGTTTCTGGATTATTGAAAAGGGGGCAGAAGCTGCAGATAGACCAAAGGATGGATATATATATATGATCAAGTGTAATTTACCATATATATATATATGGTAAATTACACTTGATCATCTACTGTAGAGCAAAAGGACAAGGAGATATATGAGGACCTCAAGAGTTCTGAATTTATTGGAGGTATTTAGGATATAATTCAGGATCTGAGATTATTCTTTGAATATGATTATGTGAAGCAGTGACTTAACAGTTTTACTTAGTAAAGGAGGATGACAAATTATATGATAGTCTCCCTTTAGTTTATCTTAAATGAGATTTTTTAAAAAAAATTTAAATCACAATATTTTAGGTAAGTCCTAACCAAGTAAAATATCATTGTCTTGCATATGAGATGTTCACAACAAGAAAAAGGCCACACTTTTGTATATGAATACATTCATTAAGTGAAAAGTTAACATACAACTTGAGAAAAACAATAGACTAGATTTTATGCTCTTGGCTGATCAGTGGACTTAACCTAGTAGTACATATAGCCAATCATAAATTTAGTTCAAGACCAACACTTTGGTATTGGAAGATAAACTTATATGTTAACAATGGGTGCCACAAATACATGAAAATTCAAGATTTCATACAAACCTTTAAATGGGTCATGAAATTCATTAAGTTCACTAAAATAAGAAGTTTTTACTTGCTTAATTTACATTTATTAAAAGCTGAACATCAAGAGAAGATTAAATATGGAGAAACTACATATTTGATATGATTATAAATGCTATGAGTAATGCCATTAAAGGAAGAAACTTAGAGCTATCTGGAATGTGCATAGGAATGGAACAGTGGTTATGAGTGCTTTAACATCAATAGAATTACTTAAGAGAAAGAAGTTGTAATAGCAACTTCGCCAAAATTAGTAAAAAGAATAACAACAATTAGCTGAATACAAAGCTATTTCTACAGTTGGAATTCTCCTTAACTTCTCTCCCAGCCTCCGGAACCAAGAGGTTGGGGAATATGGGCTTCAGGAACTTGAAGTCGCCAGTTCCAGAGTCTCCAGCCAGACATACCTCATACTGGTAGCTCTGAGACAGTGTCCCAGTGCCGCTGACGTCCACCAGGTGGCCAGGAAAGTGGCCCTCAGGCATAGAGCAGACACCCAGAGGCACCGCCCTGCGCCTCCTGCACAGCCTCACAACCACAAAAACCAGCACAGAGAAGAGGAAGAGAGATGACACAGAGGCCAAGGCGATGACCAAGTAGACAGTGAGCGAGTCCCCCTGCAAGCGCTCAGGCGCCACTTCCGGGAGAGGCAGGTAGGGCTGGGAGAAGCCATCCACCAGCAGCACGTGCAGCGTGACGCTGGCAGACAGCGGAGGCTCGCCATTGTCCTTGACCAGCACCACCAGCCTGTGCCTGGCCGCGTCGCGCTCGCTCAGCAGCCTGGCGGTGCGCACCTCGCCATTGT